CGGCCCTTGCCGGCCGTCCGGCAACATCTCTCGAGTAATTCAACTCAAACTAAAATGAAATGATTTGAAATGATCAAGTTTACTGAAAATACTCAAAAATCCAGAATTTACACATGAAACTGACCAAGGCCGTGGCATGCACTCCGTGTGCCGCCGACGGCGTTCAGCCGTCTCTCGACCGAACTTGCTTTTCTCTCGACAACCAACACACCACTGAACATGAAATAAAGTTTACTGAATAATTCAACATTAAGTGCTCGGAGGTCTGATGCTTAACATAATCAATAATCATGCTCGGCCCGTGGTGCGCGCTACATGCGCGACGACGCCCCTCGGCCGAATCACCGAACAAACATGAACATACATCAAACAACACAATCTGACTGAACATGATATCGCATAAAATAGCTAGATATGCGAAGTTTGTTCGAAAGATTTGACTTAAAACATGACTTGCTCGATACTATCCTACGCACGGCCGAGGCACTCATGGCTAATACATGAGATCAGTTACACGACATAAGCTGAATCATGATGCTACTAACATAAAAAGGAGATATCCCAAGTTATTACCTCTTCACTTGCTCGCCGGATTACCCAAGGTACTTCCGTGCGTGAGGGATGCTCTCGGTGCGGTGCTCGTCGTGCGCTTGCGGTGTGCTAAGCTATGCGGTGCTTGATACACAAAATCTCACTAACTCTCACTTACTAGCTTATTTGGAAGTAAATTTATGGCTGAAAGCTCAAGGAAAAACATCCCAACTCTTACTTATAATAATGACCGGACATGAAGAGGTGAAGAAATGATTTGGCCAATGAATTTGCTCCATTTGCCAAGCTTAGGCTTAACTTGAGCTTAGTCATCACTTACTCTAGCTTAGTCACAAGTTTGGTGCCTAATGAGAAGACACCTCATGCTTAATAGATGATGACTATTCCACATGAATATTTCTCAAATTGCACACGACAATTAGAGGAATTTGGGATGACAATTTCCTTAATTAAGCTGAAATTTCCCAAATAATTGCTCACGGCAATTAGGGATAATTTGAACATGATTTGG